GCCCCATCTCTTCTCTGGAAACATCAAGGCTCATGGGGTGCCCATGCTCGGTGGTTAGCTCTGGGTGGGTCTTCAGTACCATGAGGCTCACCTGGGCAATAATGTTGTCCCCAAACCTCACCTTGTGGGGGGGAACTCTGCAATTTAACTCTGAACCCCAACTTGCACCCAGCGGTACTGCCATTCTTCCAAAACGGATGATGACAGAAAAATACAAAATAAGAAAGGTGACCATAAATCAAATTTCAAAAGGAGAGACCCCCAACAGCCCATTTTTAAAAAAAATTCAGGTTTTGTTCTCATCATACATGTCCAAGGATGGTTCGATTGTGGAGAATTCACTTTCGTACACCAGGCTACGAGGCGACAGGGAGTTCCGGTGAAAGAAGTGCCCACCTAAAGAAGGAACAAGAAAGACAAACTTAGTGTGGGCATTAGCCCGGGTCCCACAGGACGTTGTAGGAGGATGCTGATCGGGTTTGTAACACTGCATTTCCGTAAGTATCTCCTTCACTGTGGCCTCTTATCTCTAGATGGAAATAATGTAGGCGTTGTGTCTCTCAGTGCTGCGGCTGAAACCCAGAGCCTCTTACTTGCTAAGCGAGTCCTGCAACATTCAGCTGCCTCTTTGCCTTGTAAGCATGACTGACTTTTTGTTGTGGTTGTTGTTGTTGTTGTTTTTGTTTGTTTTGAGACAGGGTTTCATGTAGACAAGACTGGCCTTGAACTCACTATGGCTGGAGACGACCTAGAACTTGTGATCCTCCTGACTCCATTTTCTGAGTCTTGGGATTACAAGCATGTATTACATGTCTAGTTTATGAGATGCAAGGTAATTAAACCTAGGGCCTTGCACACACCAGGTAAATAAGCCACTTCCTTAGCACTTTGTAGGCATATTTTAAATATATACATTTCTGGGGCTAGGGAGATGGCTTAATAGTGAAGAACACTTGCTGATCTGGTAGATTTGGAGTTCAGGACCCATGACCCACATCAGGACTCACAACTCTCTGTAATTCCAACTGCAGGGGACCCCACATCCTTTTCTGGTCTCCATGGGCATCACACACATGTTGTAAGTACACACACATATATGCAAACACTCATACACATAAAATAAAAATAAATTCTTAAAAAAAAAACCTTCCAAAATACGTACATTCTCCTGTTAGGCTCCCAAGAAGGTGTCAGAACAAAAGCTGCCCGATGGACTTGGAAGGATGCTATGACTGATCTGAAGACTTTTGGGGACGAAATCATACAAATCCTGTCCCTTTCTGAGCCTCTGTCCTAGACTGGCCTGCATGCATGAGTGCACAGAAATGATCTGGCAGTTGGGGAAACCTGGGAATTCTGGATGGCGAGTATCGAGGATCCTGATAACACATTTAAAAGTTTGGAAGACAGGGACAGTAAAAGCACTTGCTACCAAGCCTGATGATATAGGCTTGATTCCTGGGACCCACATGGTAGAAGCAGAAAACTGAGTCCCGCAGGTTGCCCTCAGAACTCTCTATGTGTGTGTTCATGTAGACATGTGCATGAACACACACACTAAGTCAAATGTAATAAAACAATTTTTAAAATTAAAGTTTTCATTTGGGGCTCAAGAGGTAAACATGCTCTAGAGCATAAGGTCCCGAGTTCCATATCCATAATCCACATAGAAAAGCTGAGTGTGTTCCCCACTCTGGGATGGCAGACCCAGGGGCTTCCTGGCCAGACAGTCTAGAATGAGCTCTAGGTCAAAGGAGAGACCCTGTCTCAAACAAGGTGGATGATGACTGAGAGACAACACCCACGCTGACCTTTGGCCTCCTCACCCACACTCTTACACATCTATCCCCATGAATGTGCAACCACCCATACAAATGAAAAAGTTTTAATTAACATTAAAGCTATACCTTCACATGGTTTGGTTAATTATTAATTAAATCTATGTTTTTTTTGGGGGGGGCAGTATACCTTATGTAGCATAGCCATGCTAGCCTGGAACTTTCAATCTTCTTTAACATTTTTTAAACATTAATTTTATTTTACCCAAGGACTGTTTGTCTGCACAATCCCCAGAAACTGGAGGAGTTTAGACAGCTGTGGGGAACCATGTGGATTGTGGGAACTGAATTGAGATCCTTTGTAAGAGCAGCAAATTCTCTTAACCACTGAGCCATCTCTCCAGCCCCTGAACTTACAGTCACCTTACCTCTATTGCCAAGTGCTGAGATTCTAGACCTGGGGTTCCAGCTGATCTCATGTGGGACGCTCTCCCCACCCTGCACCAGGGACTGAACCCAGGGCTTTATGTGAAGGCTCTGCTACTAGGATTTATCCCAGTCGTCCTTTTTTTCTTCAGACAGGCCTGGTTAAGTTTTCCAGGGAGGCCTTGAACTTGTGCCACTCTTAGGAGCCTTTGCCTCTTCAGCAGCTGAGAGCACAGGTCTATGCAGTCAGCCGGCACCACGCGTTCTGAAGAGTACAATCTCCAACTTCCGTTTTTCAGAGTGTGCAATTTTTAGTGACTCTTATAGAATTTATGCTTTCAAAAACATACTCTTTTTTTTCCTCTTTAAAAAATTTACTTTGTGTGGGTGGTGGGAGTGGAAATTGCTCAGGTGAAGGTAGGAGGGCAACTTTCAGGAGTAGAACCATGTGGGTTCCAGGGACTGAAATCCAGGTCATCAGGCTTGAAATTGCTAGCCCAAAGGTACCAATTTTGACACTCATAATTTTTCATGCTTAGACTTTATTGAATTTCCACTAGGGAACATTGTGGTGTTTTTCCTATCTCTATACCCTCCCTCTCCCATAAACATGGTCCCAAGTAATTATTATTATTATTTTGGTTTTTCAAGACAGGGTTTCTTTGTGTATCCCTCTGACTGTCCTGGAATTCACAGAAATCCACCTGCCTTTGCCTCCTGAGTACTGGGATTAAAGTGCTGCCATCACCACCCAGCCCCAAGTAATTATTTTTTGATAATTTAATACATTCAGTGTTTATTCTATTTGACTGTTTGTGCTAATCAGAACCAAGCCATGCTCCTGTTTTCTTTTCTGCATGGCCCTGTTTTGTTACTGTTACTTTGAGGTAACAGGGAAATAAAGTAAAATAAACATGATTAAAATTTACAGCTTCAAGAGTTTTTATAGGGGTCTAGAGGGATGGTTCAGTGATCAAGAGTGTGCTGCACAATCATGAAGACCAGAGTTCAAATCCCAGCACCCATGTAACAAGCCAGGCTTTCCATAAACATCTGTAGCTCCAGGTCTGAGGGACTGGATGCCCTTGTCTGGCCTCTGCATCTGCACAAACAGGCACACCAGCACACATTTGTGTGCTGTCTCACACACAAATAGATAAATCTACAAGAGTAGAGATCTTGTTCATATGCCTACCAACCTAGCCAGAGTATAGAACATGAACACGTCCAACACCTGCCAAATTTCTGTGCTCTCAGCTGCTGAAGAGGCAAAGGCTTTTAAGAGTGGCCCATGTTCAAGGCCTCCCTGGAAAACTTAACCAGGCCTGTCTGAAGAAAAAAAGGACGACTGGGATAAATCCTAGTAGCAGTGCCTTCACATAAAGCTCTGAGTTCAGTCCTTGGTGCAGGGTGGGGAGAGGGTCCCACATGAGATCAGCTGGAACCCCAGGTCTAGAATCTCAGCACTTGGGCAATAGAGGTAAGGTGACTGTAAGTTCAGGGGCTGGAGAGATGGCTCAGTGGTTCAGGGAAAATGTCCTAAAATCTTTTATTAATCCCTTCCTCTCTTTCCATCTTATTCCTATCACCATGGAAACAGTTTATCTTGCATCTTTCTAGAATGTCGAATCATTGAAAGTTGCTATGAACATTTATTTACAAGAAATCCTCGAATATGTGATTTCATGTCTCTTGGGTTAAATACCCAGGGGTGGAATGCCTGGTAGATTTTGGCTTAACTCTGTAAGGGGCTCTCAGGTTGATTTATGTCAAGTGGCTGTGCTGTTTTATTTTATTTTTTTTTTTGTAAGAGAAATACTGACCACACCTGCTTGAGAGCTGGCACAGGTGACGCAGACCACGAACACTTGGGCGTGGTCAGAGTGACGTAGCAAGACTTTAAATATGAGAGTCACAAGCATGCTGCTCACTCTGTTCCCTGACCTGCCTGGTTGTACCAGACTGACTCCGTCCAGTGAGTACTTTCATAATAAACATCTGCTCATCAAACTTGCTCTGACTCCATTGCCATCTGCATTATGTTTCACTTTATTTATTTATTTTTAGGATTTATTTATCACATATACAGTGTTCTGCCTACATGCCAAAAGAGGGCACCAGATTGAATTGTAGATGGTTGCTGGGAATTGAACTCAGGACCCCTGGAAGAACAGTCAGTGCTCTTAACCTCTGAGCCATCTCTCCAGCCCGGCCTTGCTGTTTTACAGACCTTTGTGAAGTGTGTGAAAATCCCAGTGCCTCTGGGTAATGATGTGTCAGTCTTTTAAATCTTAGTTCTTCTTCTTGACGTTTTTTTTTCCTCTCTCTTCTTTTATAGCTCCATCCCTTTCTTGGAGTCTGAGTTACATATAGCCTAGGCTGGCTTGATACTTGCTGTGTAGTTGAAGAAAAACCTTGAACTCCTAATTCTCCTGTTTATATCTCCCAAATGCTGGGATTCCAGGTGTGCACTACCCCACTCAGTTCTCCTCTTTTAAGATTCTGTTTCTTCAACAGAAGAATTGTTCTTAAAACAATAAGGTTTTAAGATTCTGTTTCTATTTTATGTATATGAGTGTTCTGCCGGCATGTATGTGTGTGTATCATGTATGTGCCTGCTAACCACAGAAATCAGATGAAGTCATTAGATTACCTGGAATTGAAGTTACAGATGGTTGTGAGCCACCATGGGGGTTCAGGGAACCGAACCTGGGTCCTCTGTAAGAGCAGCAAGTACTCTTTTAACTGCTGACTCATTTTTCTAGCCCTTTACTAGTGATTAATGATGTTGGGCATCTTTTCATGCATGTATCCAGCAACTCTATTTCTTTTGGGGGGGTAGGTGTTGGGGCTGGAACCCAGGGTACTGTGCACACTAGACCAGCACTCTACCATGGAGCCACTCCTCGGATCTTCTTTATAAGGTCTCACAATGTAGCCCTGGCTGGTCTGGAACTTGTTACATAGACCAGGCTGGCTTCAGACTCACAGAGATCCAAGTGCCCCTGCTTCTGCTGGGATTAAAGGGATGTGCCACCACTGCCAGCAAGTGCTGGGGTTCTTTAAAGGCATGAGATCCAAGCTCTTTGTCAAAAAATGTTTTGAAAATACTTTTTCAAGAGAGGCTTTTCATTTTACTAATATTGATTTTGGAAGAACAAGCTCCAAATTTTGGTAAAATCCAATTTACTG